TCTCAACGATTACGCAACGCAACAAATGATTTCCGCCTTCCCGAATTTCAGCGAAGTCGTAATTCTTTTCTAACGGTGCACGTAACGCGCAGCCCATCTCTCCCTAACGTTTTAACGTTAAATATAAAATTACGCCCGAACGTTTCCCGATGCGGCATAGCAATTAGAAAGAATTACGTAAAGAAACATGATCGTCGTTCATAGCCGCGATGCACGCAACCCGCTCGGACTAGTTAAATCCTGAAAGGTTCCCCGGCCGAGGCTGATATTTCCGTCTAACGTTCCTGCCGAGCGGGTTCGTATCGTCAAGGTGAACATAAATGACATATTTCATCGCGGCAGGAGGCAGGGATTTTGTCGGCCGTTTCGCAATGTACACAAATTTCTATTTTGCGTAAGCGGCACCCGTGAAAAGTATCATCCGTGAAGAGCGCACCTGCCAGCCGAAGGGCAGTGTTCGCGAACATAGTATAGTGGAGGCGTCAAAATGATAGGAGAGGGCATGGGGATCGGATCGTGAGCTACGCAGGAGATGTCGACAAGATGACAGCGGCCGTATGACGCTCGTTACGTTTAGTCTTGGGCTACAGGTTACCCGTGTGTACCAGGGAAAAGGATTGTGTCGCCGCTAAAGCGAACGACTTTATGCCTCCTTACGGCGGCACGTGCGTCTCAGTAGATTCTCTGCCACGAAACGAGATCGTAATCGGGCCTATTTGGGCAAGAGCCGCAACCGCCGCGCCCGTGCAATGTACACAGCGGCCTGAACCGCCTCTGGAGTTGTCACCGTCCCCGAGGAGTCCTCCCTTTAAACGCCGCGGAGTGAAGTAATGAGCGTTTTCGGGGATTTCCAGCGTGTCTGGGTACAAAGATTCCCAGACAGCGCCTTGCCGGCGGCCTGGGAGGAGGACGTCAGGGCCAACCTAGTCAAGCATAAACAGAAGGTAATTGATCAAAATTGGAACGTCCATTCTAATCTCTTTGATTATTACAGTCGAGGGATTCGTGTAGATTTAATAGAGAAGCGATTTCCTCTCAAGCTTTTGATGAGTCACTGGCCATGTTTTTCAGATGTGTTGCAATATGAATTTTCCTCTATATTTTCATTGAAATGGCCCATTAGGGATTATATTATTGTTGTATTCTTTGAAGTTTTGTACGTAATGTTCGGTGTGTGTTTCCTTTTCGTTATGATTAAATTGTTTGAGTTAACGAATTCTTTTAACATTTTCAGATGGTTATTTATTTCTATGAAACAGATTATATCGTTGTTTTTAAATGTAAGAGCTGACTTGGTAATCAGTTCCATGGAATTCTACGGTAGAATGTCGGTTCTTTTGGGGGAAAACCCTTCCTTGTTCTTCTGGTGGTGGAGACCTCATTCCATGAGTCATCGTATTAATTTCTTAGTTAATTAGGAAGTTAACTGAATTTATACTTGAATGTAATTAATAGTTTAATCTACTTTACTCACTCTTTATGTTACTGTTGAATTACTGTTCAAAAGCTGATCCTACTGATTTTTTTTTCTGTAATTATTATAATTTTTTAAATGTTCTCAAATGGCTCACTGTTACTGAATCATCACTCGCTTATCTTCATCTTGTTATCATCAATGAAAAATATGTGTTTATACTGTATTTATTTTCACCTGTGTTATTACATGAAACAACAGTTTGAAAGTATGCAAATTCCTGACACGTGTTATTCTTATAGGTAACTGCTTTGAGAGAAGAACTCGAGAAAGAAGAATTCTATGTGGAATATTTGGAGAGACTGTTAGCGGACGTTGAACGCCATAAAAAATTAGCGAACAGCAACACTGTAACAACTCCTGAAAAGCAACAGCTAACAGATGCTCAAACTCAACAGACCTGTCAACCCACAGAGAACAGTTTGTTAGACGCCACAAATGTGTCTCACGCTCAACACGTGGAATCATCGGCCCCATCCCTCCCTGTACGCGAAGATATAAGTAAATTTCAAGACAAATGCGTCTCCGAGCTGAGTTCCACTCTAAACACAAGCAAAAGACCTAAAAGCGAGATACCGAGAAGTCCTGACAAAGTGCCTGAGCTCCGAAGAAACAGTGACCCTGATGTGCCAAGTAATTACGTGACTGTAATCGAAGTAACGGGTAGCTCGAAGAAAGAGAAAAATGAAGGATCTCTCAAGGAGGAGGATGAGAAAGGTGTTGTATTCACTTTGTACCATTTTATAATTAAATCCAATTCCATTCATACGTATGCTTCACGGGCAGATCTGGAAAATGCAATTAATGAAGATGGAGAGGACGGTGATGCAGAGGCATCAGAGGAAGAACCTTACTATGATTCCGTAGCTTTAGATCAAACAGGAGAGTATGTATATATTGATGCACGTGTTCCGCCTGTGGGAAACAATAATGGCAACAGAGTGCCACAGAGAAGACCGCCTTCTCTTCCCGATTCACCAGGGAACCAGAGCAATTATGTCAACATCGATTATTTTATACAGTAAGCAGTTCCCTCAAATCAATTTAATAATCCCATAAAAGTGATGATGTACACTCAACCATTCCTCTATCTCCAGACACAGGGCAGCGATGGACAGCGAGGACGAAGAAGGCGCGAGTCCAGCGCCGCCGATTTTGCTACGTGCTCTTAGCACCGACAACGAAACCGGCAGCAGCGACGCGGAACCTTTAAGCCTGAGCGAGGGCAGCTTAGAATCGCCGACGCCGACGACACCGCGCCGACAAGAGAAGAGTAAAGATCGCGAGGACGATAGAACGTCTATGATCAAATGCATCGTCAACTCGGTAGTGGAAAGCGAAGCTGTGTACGTTGAATGTCTAAACGTGATGTTGCAAGTACGTGGTCCATTGCTTTAAATGAAGTACGAGAAAACGTGTTCATGAATCTTTAGCGCATAATTTTCTTTAGTACATGAAAGCTATAAGGGCGACGTTGACCACGTCTCAACCAGTCATCTCGGAAGATGAATTCGGCACAATGTTTTACAAGATACCTGAACTGCACGAGCTGCATCAAACATTTTTGAACGGTCTTAGGAAAAAATTGGAGAAATGGGACAGCAAGACTACCATAGGCGAACAGTTCAAAGTAAGAGTTGAAATCTGTCAAGAAGAGATGTGTTTTTAATCTGTCATTAACGTATATCGTTCTCCGCAGATAATGGCTAGCAACATTGGCTTGTACGGAGCTTTTTTACACAACTACGCCCGCGCTACCGACACCGTACGAAGATGTTCCGCGCATTCCACACAATTCGGTGAGATCACAAGAGACATAAGACTCAGAGGATTTCCCAAAGGTCCAGGTTTATCGCTCGAAGATCTTCTGCACAAGCCTGTTGCTCGCGTGCAAAAGAATGCGCTGGTATTGCATGTGAGTATTTACGTACTTACTCGGATGTACTCGATCGAGTATATAAACACACGAACGTGCTGTTATTAAACGAAGGTTACCCACACAAGTTGATAAAGTCACGTGGAAATATACTAGCTTTATCTTATCAGACAATTCGCGTTGATAATTTCCTTTCGATTGATCGTAGGATCTCCTTAAGCATACACCAATGAATCATGCAGATCATGCACCGCTCTCCGAGGCTCTTGCTATGACTAGAAACTTCCTAGACGAATTCAACATTATACAGACGAAATCAATGTTTCCGGTGAGATCAAGTGAAAGCAAACTCAGGACGTTCGCGAACAGTGATGCACGGTATAAAAATGTTCAACTGTTTCTAGAGTCATGACAGAGCTCAGCGAAGATTAGTGAAGAACTCTTTTGTGGTGGAACTGTCCGACGGTCATAGGAAACTGAGGCACCTGTTCCTCTTCAACGATGTGATCGCTTGTGCGAAATACAAGGCGTCTGGTAGAGATAAGTTCACGTTCGAGTTAAAGTGGTACGTGCCAGTGGCGGAAGCGGTGGTGACAGAGGACGGTATCGAGCCACGGGAGACTAGTCCAGCTAACGTTGTAGCTCTGAGGTACACAACCTGTCAATCGCATCTGATTCTATCGTTGAGAACGTTTCTTTTTTTAATAATCGATCCTCGTTGCACACAGGTCGCAGGCATGTACCGTACGTGATCAGATATTATGGGAAGAGCGCAACGACGAGAAACGAATTAGGCTTGGCGGTAGAGGTTCGGAAAAAAATAGAAAGAAGCTTGCTGAGCTCGAAGCTCAACTAGTATTAGCGTCCCCAAATTTAGTATTACGCGTCGCGCATAAAAGTCAGCATCGAATGCAAAATTCGTACACGTTCTTTCTGTCCAGTGAATTTGAACGGTCCCAATGGGTTGAAGCGGTGGAGGCATTGCAACAGGTAATGCGTTCCCATATGTACCTAGATAAGTCAAAGGTGCGTAATTCACAGATTACGAATACATACATGCGTACATACATACATACATACATACATACTCTGTATAGATATTCGATAACGTCTTTTATTTAAATCGAGCACAAGGATGCAAGTAACGATACACTCATGAAGATAACTCGACCGCTAATGGAATCATTGCAACCGATAGTTTTCGTTTTTCATCTTTTAGGGTGGACAGCCTCCGGGACCGTTGCCTTTGTCGATGTACGAATTGCAGGCTTGGGTCACAGCCTGCCGCACCTATCTCCAGACAGATATGGGTAGCTATTTGTTAAGATCAGGCCGAGACGAGAGTTTATTACTGGGCGATCTTCACTTGACCCTGCTTGGCCTGACGCCGCCAGGTCTAGACCGAGTAGGAGATCTTTATATAATTGTGGAAGTCGACAGCTACGGACACTACTTTAAGAGAGCAAGAAGTCGAGTAGCAAGAGGTCAAGCTCCGACATGGGGTAATGTTCTATTCTACAGTAGCTTCAAGTACGCTGTACCTCCACGACCATACAACTAATCTCATTACTGTTTAAGGCGAAACCTTTGTCGTTGAACTAGAAGGCAGTCAGAACGTTAGAATTCTACTGTACGAGGAATGCGGGGCCCGCTCGGTGCTACGAGGCAAGTGTATACAAAGATTGAGCAGGTCTTGGCTGCAGTCGGACCAAGTGGAGAGGTCATTGAACTTAGGCCCAGCTACCCTAGACGTAGCTCTGCGTTTCGTTCCGAGCGAGGTGACTTTAAGGCGAGTGCCGTCTGCCAAACCGCAGGGTTTATTCGGAGCTAAAATTCAACAAGTGTGCAAGTACGTTACATAAACATGGCTACTCTTACTCCGAGCAACGGTCAATCAATTTACACACTCATGTTTACAGACGTGAAAAACGAGACGTTCCTTTTATCATAACGGCCTGCGTAAGGGAAGTGGAAAGGCGAGGCGTGGGAGAAGTAGGCTTATACCGAGTGTCCGGCTCCGCGTCTGACCTGACGAAATTGCGCAAATCGTTTGAGAGCAATTCGTACGAGGCGGAGCAATTGCTTAAAGAGGTAACACCTCATTTCCATGTTAATGTAGTCCTTCATTGACAGTTCCTGTGTTCCCCAGGTGGACGTTCATTCGGTGACGGGCGTCCTCAAACTGTACCTTCGCGAAATGCCGGAAGCTCTCTTCACGGACGCGCTTTACCCGGCTTTCTTGGAAGCTTTCCAAACCGGCGAGCTGTCGAAGGGCGCCGCCTTGCGAAGGGTCTACGAGAGCCTGCCCGCCGTGAACAAGGCGGTGATCGATTTCCTGCTGACGCATCTGATACGCGTGAACAAGCACGAGGCGCAGAACAAGATGTCGCTGCACAATCTGGCGACGGTGTTCGGGCCGACGCTCCTGCGGCCCGGCACCAACTCGCGGTCCGACGCGAAGAGCCGCGACCCGCTGGCCGCGGGCACCGTCGACGTGATGGCTCAAGCGGGCATACTTTACTGCTTCCTGCAGATGCACATGCAACAGAACAATCAGTCACTCTAGTCGAGAGATTCTTGTTGACATGCCGCAGCGTCGGTTGCTCGGGGCTCGCCGGACTCGTCGCGGCTAACGCTCGATTGTAAAATTCATCGATCTTTTATAATATATTTTATTAGTTTCTCGTGACGTGTCGTTTACGCAACGCATTAAGTAGTATATATACAGGCTTTCACGAACACCCGGACCGGATGGAATTCCTGTGACGTCGAGACGCATACGAGTCACGCGACGAAGGACTTGCAGGCCGTCACATTGGTCCTTCGAGCTCCGTAATATATTTTATACTTTTACTCCGAAGTCCTAGCCAACGAGGGATCTGTACTTGGTTCGATTAAGGTCATGGTTTTAGGGATGAACTTCGATCAAGACTATGCTATACTAACATTCTCGATACACGTGTCAAACGATTTGTCATTTCGGTTTTTATTTCAGCAGCGTGAACGTAATTTGAATTCTCGCATGAACGATCAAAGTGTGTCCTTAAGATCTTGAGAATGTTCGAGTTAGTCGGACCAAGTATAGGGACTAACCGTTTCAACATTTTCGAAGACATTTTGAGGAAAAGAAACAGGATGGAAAATTCATGTTCACATTAGAGAGACAGACAGACAGGCAGTTCACTATTGTATCCACGCTTTAGAGAATAAGTGTTTTTTCCAATGGGGCGTGTTCCTAACAGAGAGTCTAAATTTTTTTACGCGATAACAACGTGACATACCTCCTTCAGCTATGTTCATGAGAATGTCCACTTTAATCGAGTGAATCACGTTCCTAAATATTCCTCCTACTGGACAATTTCGGGAGATCACGTTCCTTGGTATATGCAAATCGAAGCTTGATAGCGACGCGATATATACTGGCTGCATTCAGTTCATTACGGAAGCCGCGCTCCGCGAGCTGTTCTATTCTTTATAGAAGTATTTTCACAGAAGTACGCGCTCTCGAATTTTTGTAAAGGATATTGACGAGCGGTGGAGTTGAGACGTTTTTAACATTTAAGCTGTAATTAGACTCCCGTTTCGAGAATCGTGTCTTTATTTTCAAATATTCTTTCTTTCCTGAGCAATATTGTTTTCAGTGTGTTATTCTTGGAACTCTTATTTGTTCATAGAGAATTTCGTTATTCGTTTCTACGTTGACACGTTAACACTTGGCCAACCGAATGAGGAGATCTCCCACTTTTCATAGCAATTGCCTTTTATTCTGTTTATCTTTTCTTTTATTTAGTATTGACGTGGGATTATTTGCAATTCATCAAATACGTTTTTAACTAAATTGAATAAGTATAATTGAAGATAATGGAGAAGGTTGTAGTTACAGTTCCTTCCAGGCGGTCGCCTAAGTGTTAACACAGGAGGATTAACATCAGAGATCTCATTTCCGGTTGTTAGGTCTAAATACAGCTTAATGGAGCACCAAAGAGAAGAAAATATTCTCTCGCATACATCCGATAGAGTACCGTGATTGACCCTTTGAAGCATCGCAACACTTGCATTCTATTATCCAAACCGCATATCCATCTTAACGATACACGATACGAGTTGTATTTTTCTATTATTGTATACCACCGCAATTAATAATCTATCTCACGTATTTTATAGTAATAGCATTCTGAAGATCGCTCTCTACGAAGTCGACACTCCATGCTTCAGAGGGTTGAAGCAAAGGAAAGCACATTTGGCAGTACAAATTTAATACTCCACGTAGAGGCCCTACCCCACCCCCACCCCTCCCTTTTTACATGCTAGGACGTTAATGAACTACTTTGTAATCGGAACGACGAAGACGAAACGGATGAGACTCGAGTCTGATTCCAATGTTCGATAAAATCGTGAATATTATTGATCGAGATGCAAAACAGCAAAAAGAACAAAAAGAGAGAGAGAAAGAAACGAAAGAGTACGACGACGAATTGTTACGTTAAGGTACTTTTCCAGAGGTGACCACTGTGCTTGAGCGAAGGCAACTATCGTATGAGTGGTTTCAGTGTGTGTGCGTGTATATGTGTAACCTGCCCATGTGTATTATATCGTAAATATTGGATACCTTTAATTTTTATATCGCATTTTAGCATAATACGCGGCCCCTCTTTTGTACATTCAACGATAAATGTAAAGACAAAGTTTCTGCTATTACGATTAATTAATTATTATTATTAATATTATTATTATTATTATTGATTATTATTATTACTAATTATTATCGCAACAACTATTATTATTTCCATTATACCGTTTACGATTACTGTCGATCGAGCAATCTGACGACAGCAACTCGATAAAGGCTATTTCGCTGCAAGACGATGTACTGCCAAAAATCCACACACCTTTGAAACACACAAATATACTGGAGGTTTATAAACTTTTACATCGGAAATGTTTGTTACCAACCCAGGTTACATTTTTCTGTTCTTTTTATTTGTATAAATAAATTTTAAGCTGGAGCACGTTATATTGTAACCACGTGATTGTTGTTTTACTTGTCACCAACGGAAAAGAAAGGGACTTGTTATTCTATCAATGCTGCCGCCAGGAGGAATACAGGCAATAAACACATGGAAAACGTTTCCAGTAACGTGCCCTTATTTTATTTAGCGAGGAATTTACATTAGACATTCCTGCAGCGTTACAGTTCCATTGAGATTTCATCAACAAATCAGACTGAAAAACCTGCTGCTCAAGATTAACGGTTGACGATGAAATTTTCGAAATTTAACATTTATTCCCGGACAGCGTCTTCGTTAACACTAGATTTATTCTACATTTTATTCCATTGTTCTTAGAAAGCTGTTCGTTTATATAGATCACGAAAATAACTTCAAAACCAGAGTATTACAATGCGTATTCGCACAATTGCACGAATCAAAATTAAACTGTTCCTAAATAATGTTTAAAAATTTCGATATCCGTCGCACTGACGGGTTCCGTAAATCTAACGTTAACGTTTCGTAATGGAGATTCGACGAGGATTTAATCATAGTCGGCCGTTTCCTGCTTCAACGAGTCGGGGCAACTTCGAGCTGGCGGAGGCACAGGAAGCTTAACCGGTGTAGCTGCTATGTTGTCCCATAGTCCCGGAAGTCGAGATCCGTCCGATCCATTGCATTGCATTCCTAATGAAAATTATCGTAAGAAACACCGATGCGAACGTATAGCGTATATCGTCTTCGCAGAGAACCAGCGTGCAGGAATGTTACAGTATTTCAAACGAGAGTACATTAGCGAATTGGACAACCTAACGGTGCTGCCTCGTAGAGGTCGTGCAGAGCCTGCACGCGAACCTTGGTCCACTGGATGCTCTTATAGTTCGACGAGATTCCCTTTTCGTTGCTGGTTGGCTGGCTCTCCCACTCTCTCATATAACGGAAGTAGGTCCTCAGAGCGTCGTCGCTTATGGCGCTTTTGCAAACCTGGAGAGATTTCAAGGGAAACATTAACACAACCTCGTTTAAAAGATAACTAGCGCGTTCGAGCTAATCGAAGCTACTAACCCTTTGCACTCAGAAGTTTTTCACTGGAAATATTTTAACTTTCTGATGAAATAGAAATATTTCGTGAAGCAAAGAAATCGTAACGTACATTGAAGAACAAAGCTATTTTGTTTCAATATTTCTCAAGTTGATGTAAGGTATAATATTAAATATCAAATTTTATAGTTTCACAGTGTGAAATCAGGTGGTGAGTCACCTCTCGAGTGCAAAGGGCTATAAGGGCTGAAACTGACGGTTGTCATTGAATTACCTCTAACCGAGCGTTAGGGTAGTAATGAATGTAGTTCACGCACATCTCGTCGGAAATCGCGAAACCACCTAGAGTGACATTCTCTCTTTCCATTGTCTTGTACGTGCAGGTTGTTATCAACGAATCGCCCTGCAATCAATTTGGAAAGATTCGTTTTGAATTACAGATATGAGTTAGAAGCAATGGAATATTCTTATTGAATAGAATAACAATACATTATAGTAAATATACAATTTTCTATACAATATGTTATACGTTATATTGCATAGAAAATCTTTACAGGCAAGATCGTGACTGGTTTCGGCAGCAGTCGAATCTCTTGGAAATGAGTGGAATAATGATTGTCGTAATTCAACGGCGGTAATTCCTCTCCGTCCCTAATGTGCCGTGTGATCACTTTGGTCCCTGTCAAGTGCGTGTGAAGTTGCGACGCGAAGATGTGAATCCCGCGTTGCGGGATGCCAACCCCGGTACACTCTTGTATACAGTGTCCAGATAAAGTGAAAGCTTCCTGCAGCAGTCGTGGAATATTATATAAAGTACAGGGTGTCGCAAAGAAACGTCGCCACACTTTGAAAAACGAAAAAGAATCGACCGTTTTATCAGCTAATAAAGTGTGGTAACAGTTTCTTGTGACATCCTGTATTTTACAGTATTAACCCTTAACAACTCAGTAGATCTTCAAATTTATTTCATTTTGGAAATTGTCTTTCTAATAACGAGAAGTTGCCTATTTTTTCAAAATATATAAATATATTTCTTTAAATATATTATTGAATACTTTCAGTGGCATGCTTGGACAGTGCCGGTCAATTTAGTAAAAATATACCGGGTTGCTAAGGGTTAAGGAACCATTGGCGTGGTCGACAGTGCAATACTTGTTTCGGTGGTATCGCCATTTTATCCGTATACTCTAAACCCAACTCGATCACGCCGGCGTCGTACTTCCGCAAACTCTTCGTGAGAATGAAACGAATCCCGGAGGAATCGATTTTCCCGTCCTCGAGCTCGGGATTGTTGTAATGGACCTCCAGCATCACGTAGGAATTGAAGTCCTTTCCGCCGATGGACAGTCCGACTTCCTGGGGATAAACGAAGGCGTCCGCTCCCATTGCCCACGCTGCTAACACCTTTTTGCAGATCTGACAGGAAGAAAGCAGCGAATGACATGGTTAATCCTCTTATCTCAATTAATGCACTCTTAGTAAACTTCTCTTAGAACTAGCAAAAAACTATATAATTATTTAATATAGTCTAATTTAAAAAAAGTCAATTGAACTACTCGGTAGTTTTAGTGTTGTATCTTGCACTCTTAGTAAACTTCTCTTAGAACTAGTAGAAAACTGTATAATTATTCAATGTAGTCTAACTAATTTAAAAAAAGTCAATTGAACTACTCAGTAGTTTCAGTGTTGTATGTTGATAATATTTTGAAGTTGAAAGGAAATCTACTTGGGTTTTCTCTGGCCTGTCAGGTGCATCGCAGGGGCCATCGTACATGGGGACTTCAAGGTTCGCAGACCCGGCACAGTGGAAAACTTCCATGTGGTGCACCAAATGCTCGTTTCCTGGTTGTATCACTGGGCCAAATTGAAGGATATGGTGCCTGCAGACGTGTTGGAACGCAGATCAATCGCGATTGCCAATTTATATGGTCTTTCTTGTAGAAGAATCGTATCGGGTTTACTTCTGAGATAAAGCTGGCGGTAGCTTCTGTACGCGGCACCAATAAGTGGTCTCCTTGTTCGGCACTTTTACTTGGCTGGCCAGCATCTCCAACTGCCACGCGTTGGAAGGGAAGCTCGGTTTCTTGTGCTGCACCCTGATCAATTCCGTCCGAGTCATACCGGAAGTCTCGGCGTCCGAGATCTGAAGACCAGCCAGAGACGACAGTGGACCGAGACCCCTCAGCCACACCAAATGCGTGGTACCTCTCTGAAAAGAGAATTACAATTAACAATAAATAAAGGCAAATAGATGGCCCAATAAATTTTCTGCGACTGACTGAAGAGATAATTGGGTAATATAAACATTGACATAACATTCAGCAAAAGAAAATCCAGAAACAGATTTAGAGGTCATTTGACTAGGCACGTTTAATAGTAAATTATGTAAATTCTCTCAATTGCCTCCATGATGTAGTCGTTCTCGTCGCAAGTGTCGAATTTCCTCGAGAAAGTGAACTTGGTAACATTCCCCCTCCTTCTCCATGCGAAATCTTCACAGTCCTGCAGCGCGTCCAAGTTCAACTTGCCTTCCTCATCCGCCCACGCGTCCTGGAAAATCGTTTACAGTCTTACATGTTACAAGAACGATTACAATTACAAAAGTATATAAACTCAGACAGTGACTTGTACATTGTACAGTTAGTCGGTGTAATTTAATTGACACTTTGAACGCCGCACGATTTTATAGAGCAAAATACTTTGAATTTTGGAATTGGATTATTATCATTGCACGTTCATCAAACTGAATGTCGCCGCAAAGGGGAGCATTATTTATAATATAGAAATGTTTGCGAATTATAGTAATTCGATTTGCTTGGGGGTCACCGGTGACCCATGGCATTCAACGTGTTAATTAGACGACAACGAGTACCTGTAATTGAGTCTGACGATGCCAATCGGTCCACAAGATGCAGTAATCAGCAGGCTTCAGTTCCCCATAGTTTGAGAAGCCAATGGCGAACCAGGTGTTGTCCACGCCTATGTAGTGAACCTCTGCGACTATCAGCTCACTCATAAAATCAACCCTGCAAGTTTTTAACCGTGAAACTCAATGGAAACTTCTCTCTTTTACCATAAATACATAACAAACATATTTTTCACTCTAAATAAACAAATACAGCACCTCCAATGAAAAGTGGCTTCTGATCCAAGAGGAATAGTATGGACACCAGTTTTGTACAGATCCTTTTCTTCATGTTGCTGATGCTTGTGCCAGGGCAAACAAGAACCGATGCTTAAAACAGTAAATAAAACCAGTTGCTTCGTTGCCAGTAACATTGTTAAATATGAAAAGCCAGGCGTTTCATAAATCCTTTAAATTAAATGATAACAGTGAACATCTATTCAGCAGTCGAGTCACTTCAAAGTGGTGAGCCCCTTCACTGATCATGGGATGTTTCACCCTTCTGCTGTTGACTTCCACTGAGAGCACCAGGATGGATTGGACGGCTGGAAATTTCGTACGGCGGCGGTTTGCCGCCGTTTCCTTGCGGCGCGCATGCGTAGAGTACGCATTCCTGCGCTCTAACCGTTGCTCACTCTTTAGAAAACTAAACATGCGCTAACAAAGAAGTTTAATGATTAATAAATGAACATTAAGAATTATTGAAGACTATAGAAAGCACACGAAAGCTTACTGCGTTGTTCCAAGCTTTAAAACATCAGATGTTTCACGTTTAAGACGAAGACATTCTAGGGAGACTCGAGGCTCACTGCGCATGCGCAGTGGTAACCCTCTCGTGACAATATTCGTACTGTAAAACAAACGTACAACCGAAAACGGATATTTATCTAAATTGGGAGCTTAATAGGAAATAAACAAGATTACCTACATGCAATAACAACATCGTACACAGTAAAAATTAGAGGTTAGAAAGTATCTTCTGCGTGCAACGACCGCACGCACGTGGGAATCTAATTCCAACGGAAATTCGCTTAATATAATCGTCTCAGTCCGCGACAGTTTAATCATTCGAATCCGAGCCATCGATCGGTAATTCCGCCTGGACTCGATTAGCGAGATTATCAATATCCAATAATCGAGAGTCAGGTTCGATTAGCGAGATAAAATTTGCAATTTCGTTCGAGGGCGGCATCGATTTCCGTGGAATCCGATCATCGAAACGATCGGAACAGGAACGATACCGTCGGTGAGAAATGATTTGGAAGTGAGTATGACGGAGGACGTCACGATTCAATGCAGATAACGTAATTTACGATCGATCGCGTATCTCCGTGACAAGCGGATCTCGTTTTTTTCTGACGCGTTATCGTTTACGCAACGGGTTCGAGTGCGATCGTGACTTTCCGGGTTTTCGCGTCGTCAGCACGGCCGGCGGCCGCGCGAAGGAAAATGAAGAAACGCTGAGACATCTAGAAATTTCCTTGATAATCGAATACCAGGGGGCGCATATTGCATTCCATTCGCGGCGCGTGCCTCGCCGTCCGAGCCGCAATCAAGAAATTCCACGGCAGTTATTGCGAGCAGAATTTTCATGACGCGAGCCTCGTTTAACGGTCACGAATAACCCCGGTCACGTGGCCCTCGTTTCGGAATCGATTCGACCGTTAACACAGCGTTCTCGTTTTCACAGGTTCCCTTGGACCACGTGGTCGATGCTCCCTTTAAGCGTTCCTGTTGCTACGGAAATATCGAAGGTTATTTAAATCCACGTTTTAATAGATAAGTTTTAAAGTTTTTTTTAATAGATTTTAATAGATAAGTTTGTTTATGTTTTATCATTCTTTCACATATTATTCGGAAAATTGAATGAAGAAAACGGTTCAGAACCGGTTGGTAATAAGACGATTGAGATTAATTCCCTTTAATAGATCAGTTTGTTTATTCTTTACCATTTTACATATTATTTGGAAAATTGAATGAAGAAATCGATTAAGAACTGGTTGGTAAGAAGCCAGCATTAATTCCCTTCGTTTCGAGTGCCTTAAAAGCAATGGACTAGTTCTCAAGAAAAGGAACACCTGGCGAGCACCAATATTGATTTAAAAAGAAGAGGAAGATAACGGTTGGACGTGTTAAATACGATCTCAAGATTAAATCGTACTTTGAATTGTCAGGTGTGATTTTCATGTTGACACGTTGAATTACCACACGATGTTAAAGTGTGAAATGAGAAAGATGCAATAATAAATTATTTCATTGAATTGCGTTGTTGTCGCAGGTTTGTCTTGCTGAAAGTCACCGCGTTATCTAGCATTATTTATTTATATAATACACGGGTGACCCCCATGGCATTCAACGTGTTAAGCAATCTCTAAGTTTAGGAAGTTCAGGAACTTCATCCAGGAATCCTCATCTCTTCTTTGCAATGCAAGAATATAAGATCAATTTTATCAATTTTAAACTGAATTTGAGAAACCTGGTATTACTCATTTTCTCAAAACATAAATTATCACTTTTCTATTATCAATGACTAACCTTTGGAGTAAACGTAGACAGAATAAACGTCCAAATTTGTTTCCTAATAAATTATTAACGATAAAGTAGTTGCATAGATTATAGAAAGAAATTATTTTATAGAATAGAATATTATTAGATTATAGAAAGATTGTAGGTAAGGGGTTAATATAAATTATATACTTTGTAATACATAGGATATATTATTTATTTTTTATTTATATTTCACATGTTAGAATACATATTGTTACTGTCAGCTTATCTTGCACCCTGTACGTTTCAGATTTTCCTGGAAGCAACGGTTGGACCGCTAGTCCTATGCCGGCGGCGGTAACTCATTGTTCGGCTGCCCTTTCTTGGAGAAAAAGAAGAGTTGGGTAAGCATCGACCCTTTAGGATCAATGAATGCATCGATGCCCTTGGTAGCCAGGGGCCGGTCGTGCGAGACACGGCCGTCCGGTTGCTCCTACAGATTCAGGAACGTACCGACAATCGGGTAAACGTTCCCGTCCGAGGCCTTGACTTCCGGATGGTCTTCCAACTCGTGCAGACTGCAATTAAGCTGCAGGTGCATTGTCTACGATATGCGATGGGACAGAATCACCTGTTGCATCCTACCATACAGGCATCAATGAGATAACCGATGTAGTTTTTATTTATTCATGATTAACGTAATATTTACTGCTATTTTTATCTCTTTTATTTGAACAATTTTTATAGAATTATCCATGTACAATGCAGTAATTGGTTACATAAGACACTGTTAACTCATTCTATTAGTGTCCCTTCTCTTACTAACTTCTGAGGTAGAAAATTCATGCTTAGGTTTTCCTTCATTTTAAATGAACTTTCTAATGCAATTTGGAATAAGATGGAATAAATTGCTTGTGGGAGGAACTAATTAAATAGAGTGCAAAGGGTTAATAATACAATAACCAGTACAGAGTATAATAAGTAACACAGTACTATCAACAATTTCTGTTTCATGTCCCATGGCGCCGATCAGTTCAGCTTCTAGCGGACTCATTGAAGGAGACGATACACTTAATTGCCCCGAACACTGTGGTACACACATCCACGTTTATCGTTCGCCCGGCGCGAGTTTGCCGTCGGTTGCGCAACACCGCGAGAGGATAGTTGGAAATTGCGAAATACATATGCATTCCTCGGCAACAGTTTGACGCTATCTGCTGAATATTTATTTGCGAAATAAATACAACAGAGTCTGAACCAAGTATATATTCATTAATACGTATTAACACTAAAACTACCAGAGGGGTCAAATGACCCATGCCCGATGTCTTCTTTTCGCAATTATTAGAAAGGCAACAAATGTTTCTCTGAGAAATTATTAAAGAAATTCATTCAGCACCATGCGGATTCAATTGTAAATCAATGAAAGTCTGAACAGATGCACTCTTGGAGTTTCTGTAGCGAAATTTTCAAAAGTCAATTGAAGTGCTCGGTAGTTTTAGTGTTAAAGGCGATTCACATATCGAACAGAAACGCTGTTCTTTGATGACTTTACCGTGAGCTGAAAAACGACTGGTAAAAAACGAGACGCTCAGAGAGTGCAATAAACGGGTGTCCTCGAGCAATACTGACCCTTGCAAGGGAGAGGACGCGATTTTCATTAAATTTAATTAACACGTTGCAACGGAGGCAATTTTCATTAAATTTAATTAGCACGTTGAATGCCGTGATCACCGGTAATCCCCGGCCAAATCGAATTATAATTCAATTACCATCATTATTTGCAAAGATTTTTATATTACAAATAATGCTATCTAATGATTCAGTGAAATAATTTGATATTACACTGTTTCCATTTTGTCTATTTTACTATGAGAAATTGTGCATTCAACGTATTAAATTTAATTCAATGAAATTTTCATTCGCTCGCTTTTTTGTGGATTTTCCATGGCGCGTAATGCACCGTTCGGAATTGATTCGCGCGGTCGACCGACAAAAAGAAACGCATCTGGAACGTATCGGCGAATTGATCTTGATCGAAAATTTTAATTGATCCGTAAACGTCTGTCCGCAGGCGTCACGGCGCTTACGTTGAGCGATTGCATTATTAAACCGATAGAAGACGTTACTAGAAGCGCCGTCGCGGACGATGACTCATTGAAAATCGCTTGTCTTATCTGGTCGTTGTGTTACGCGAAATCGTCTATCTCGCGACTGATCGGTGGCGACGAGGTAAAGTCTGGGGGAAGGTAGCGTCGCGATGCGAACCCTTAACTCTGGAACTACTGAACAATGAGACAGAACTATTTATAATCTGTTATGAAAATTAGAGAAACAGATTTCTTAAAATTCAAGGAGCTGCACCTGAAATACAGGAATTTAGTTTGAAATTTCTTATGGAATCTTGATCATCTTAATAATGGCAAAATTGAAATCATTTTCATACGTCTAGTTCTAGTGTTAAAAAATGCCATCTAAAGAAATCAGGTTATTACCATAGCTGTAATTTCACCGTAGTAAATGAGTGTTTATTTTATAAATTCAAACACATAAATGAAATGAGGTGCAGAGTGTGGAAAAAGAGTGTTACCACGCTTTGATAGTTTGTAAAGCGTTTACTGAACATAGTAAAATCATTTTTTAACGTGATTTTGTTTTCCAGCTGTCGAAACGTTTGTTTACATAAAAATCTGGTGTGCACTGATCAGTGATACTAGCTGAGCACGAGGAGAAGTAGATCAAACTGAATGCTCAACGTTGGCCAGTGGTTACCGTCTGTGCCAAAATTAGTATCAAGGGTACACGTTTATTATTGTAATTGCTAATTGTTGATAGCAACTGTACGATTGACTTATAGGACTCGCTTGGAACGGCTGGGACAGATAACTCTTTACGGGAGCGATAATCGCGCGACTGGAGGAAGATAGAGTTTCACGAGGCAAAGTTCGAGTATGGTCAACGGTCGACAAAAAGTTGACGACTTCTCGCGCGTATGTTATTGGACCGATTCGTAAGTGTCTCGAGTGCATTCTTGAGTGCTTCGAAAACATCTTGTCGTTACATGAATGTTAACTTTGCTTTGATGTTTGCTGTTTCGTTTTGTACGAGCATGATCCGAATTTCTATTGTAGTGATATATAATATATATATGTAAGAATTTTTATTGTAGTGATATATAATATATATGATATATATATATATATATATATATATATATATCAATAAAAATTCGGATCATGCTTGGACAAAATGGAAATTGAAAAAAAATTAAAAATTAACGTAGATTAGCATTAGAAATTAATATATGTTAACCCTTTGCACTCGAGAAGCGCCTTTCAGTCGCCATTTTTATTTAACCCAATAAAATGATAAAACTTAAAATTCAATATTAAATTTTTTACAATTTATCAACACATGGAACATTGAAATAAAATAGTTCCTTCACTTAATTTATCCAAGGTATTTCTGTATACTAGTTGTGAAAAATACCATTGATATTTCATCAGAATGAATATTTGTTGAGAAAAATACTCTCGAGTGCAAAGGGTTAATATATAATTTAGTTTATTCAGCTCAACAGCTAAAAATAGAAACTCGGTTCACGCTGTACTTTGTTTATTGCACCATTGTGACTTCTAATAGTGATTCTAATAGAAATTCGAATAGTAATAACTCTCTAACAGCTGTTCCTAACAGTAATTTATCTTTGGTTCGCAGTGGCACGCAACAATGATCCACAACGCACACGAGATTAAAGAAGACAGAGAACAGGAGCAAGGAGTCCAACAATGATGCGTGCAAGTGCAAGACTCGCGACGTAGGACTCTTACGTCACCGGATAGAGTCGATCTTGATAGGTAGGAGTTATTGCATCGGTGATTTCTTTCTGTAGATGTTCTGGGCGTGGACCGTTCATTTTTCCATTCAACGCTATATTACCCTTCATTAGCATAGTGATAATTAATTCGTTCCCAAGAGTGTTCTAGTCTCGACTTGACGGATCATGAATTATCGAGGTTTTCCTCCTTCTTTTCCCTCGATTTCATTAAACAAAATGCATTCCAGCTTTACGCGGCCACGGTTAACCGAGCGGTTAAAATTTTCAATTACATTCAATTAGAACTAATTAAGAACGACAACCATCGTCTTCTTGAAGAACTACGATGCCGGCGGTTGTCTCGTTGAGCTGATTTTTTCATCTGCTTGTGAATATCTGGTAACGTCGCATGTATAGCGCTGCATCGAGAGTAACGTGACATTGAATTTTGCAGGGGTAGACAGTGGACGAAGGATGGGAAGGATACGAATGCAATCATCATTTCTCTGCGAGTAGAGGTAACTAGCAAGAATCAATTATACACAGTAAAAGGAAGGTACTTGATCGCGTCGATGACAGGGGACGAATAATTCATAGAGCAAGGGATGAAGGGATTGGCAATGTTTTCTATTTCATTTCGTCACAACATTGTGGACACTATTATTATAAAAGAACGCTAAAGATTTATAAAATAACTGACAGAATCATATTCTCTGCAGATCCAAGCGCCAGTAAGGCTCATCATTCTCATTCAAATGTTAACCCCTTGTCCTATGACTTCTTTCCTAAGTTCGCTCTCAAGTGTAATAATTACAAAATAATATTTTCTTTGACATTGTCTGAATCAAGTAATACTTCTATCTGTTTCACATTGAAAATCTCCGCGTTACAAGACAAGTGTTTAATCTCGATTCGCTAACAGGGAACTTTGGACGACGCGTCGATGATGCTTGGAAGCAGACTGCGGCGGCACGACGACACGACACGACGGCGGAGCGTGCACGGTACGTCTGGCGTTGGTGACGTCACGGCAAAGGACGACGACGCCAGTTGGCGAGCTGGCGGTGGAAAGGGAACATGTGACCGGCCGGGAACACGCCGGACGAGCCACGGTCGCGATCGGCGTGGCAGTCGGGAATCAGCGAGTGCTCGCGCTTGGACTTCAGTGTCGGAGCAACTGGTCCACGTCGTAAAGTCGCGGCAAAAAAGCACGTGAAAGGAATGTAATCTCCGTACGAATGACCGATCATCTACCCGTGTACGACGCGCTTCAATACAGACACTTCATCGCCCACGGTGAGTGTAGCCATAGGAACGGATTCGCGTCCCGTCCGTCGATCATCCGACGAAACACGCGCATGTGCTCCTCGTGCCGTGCACGCGCCAGATTAGAAGCGTTTCCCTTGTGGCAAGGACGTGCCGAGCGATCCACTCGGTCGATCATTGTACCCTGGTCATCAGACGATCACCGCGGTTCAATTATTTCCACTAGAGACGCTTAATTTGGGATTTACAATTAGAAAATCGTATATCTAATTTCTCTTCGATAAGAACACGTCAAATGATTCATTTGGCTGATCATTGTTCCTTGGTCATCAGACTATCACTGCTGTTCAATTATTTCTACCAAAGACGCTTGATTTAGGACAATTAGAAAATCGTATATGTAATCTTTCCTTAGTGGTAAGAACACGTAGAATGATTCATTTGACTGATCATTGTTCCCTAGTCATCAGACTATCACTGCTGTTTAATTATTTCTACTAAAGACGCTTGATTTAGGACAATTAGAAAATCGTATATGTAATGTTAACAGTTGAATACCATAGGACAGTGACCCCAAACTAAATCGAATTACTATAGTTCACTCAATTAAACGATAATTATTTGAAAACACTTCTATATTACAAATAATGGACTGACCACTCAGTTAGATGAACTTCAATGAAACGTATCACTCTGTACAAAAGTAGAGTACATACCCGCGTGGAATAGGTAAAAACAAATTGAACTCTGAACTCGTTTCCAGAGCAAGAGGTTGATCTCTCGCAACCTAGCCCTTATCGCTGCAACCGGCAATCTCACTGCTAAACGAGGGTACATCGAAAACAATTGCAACGTTCGAATACGTATGAATCAATCTCCTATGTTTCGATAATGTATTGTATGCATATTCATCCAGTGTTCACCACTGAATTTCCCGGTTGAAAAGAATTGTGTAACGAATTAAATAACTATGATATTCTTGGAGCGACTAGGGCTAGAGGTGACTTTCTGTTGCTCGATTCGATATAGCGAAATCATGAAGTCTTATTTATAATATTAGTCCTTCACAATGTAGAGGTGACTTCACGTTACCACATGATCTGCTATCTCGGAGTTATGAAGTTTTATCTATAATGGTAATTCTGTGCACTCTAGAGGTGACATTCAGTCACTGTCCCCAATTACCTGGTACGGACACGTGGAATACTAAAAGAAATAGCTTTATCTCAACTTATGTAAGACTTCTTTATCCTGATTATGAAGGGTAGTATAAATATTTCTCAAAACTAGTACTATGCTCAACAAGATATATTGTCGAGTAAGAAGGATTAAGCTGTGCAACACATCGGTATGTGGAATATTCAGATCAAATACGTTTCTTAGTTAACGTATGCATTCTTGTTAGTCGGTTTCAAAGAGTGTCGCCTATAGAAGGCTAGCAAAGCTTCCGAGTGCAAAGCGCTCCGTTTTTCAATCTTGTTTGACACGTTGAATATTAATACTTAGTGATTAGAAGACAGATATGTTTGGACTGGAAGCTAGACCGCGTGATGCATTTCCAACAGGAATATTCAGCAGCCACGAGATAACGATCCCGCGTGTTAACACTAGAACTACCATACCAGTCGAAATGACTGGTTCCAATTTTTTTGTTCAACAATTATTGATATCTTCGAAGCATTGAATATTCGAAATGATTTTGAAAATAGTTTCACTAGAGTACTATAACGAATGTCTGAAAGAACTGAGAATAATCTATTGTCACAATTTTTATAGGAATTGCATATTAATCGTATTAAATGCTCGGTAGTTCCAGTGTCAAAGATATTAGCCTCCCCTCGTCGGATTCAATGAAAGTTCTACACGTTCGTGTTCGTGTACTAATCGCGTCGCACTACAGGCGTTATCGTAACAAGGAGAAATGTCCGTCAAACACCGGGACATTTGAATACGGCCGATTATTTTCCACCGGGCCGACAGACGATGGCACCGTAATTGCCGGCAGGACGATAACAGGACACGGTGCACGCGGAAAATGCACCGATTCGCCGGGAAGCCCGCTAGAACGGTGAAATTTAAATTTATAAGCGCGCCGACGCTTGTAATTGCTAATCAACTGGCAATAGACGCACACGCGTATCGTGCGCACGCCCGAGATCTATCGCGCAATTTCTGCTACACCGAACCGGTTTTTTTTTCTGCCGTTCCAACGATTATTTTTACGGGAATTATTCAATCCGGTCGCACGCGTGTCACCGATGCGCATAATTAAGCGCCGCGAGATAATTCATCGGCCGATGAATAACTGGGAGGAGCATTCGAATTGGAGCAACAAGAATTCTCTCGGTATTCCCGGTGTTTACGCGATTTTTCTTATCGATCTCCCGGCTTTCCGTCGACGGTGGAAACATTGATCGACTTATTAACCCTCTGCAATTAAGATGTGACCCTCCGTTCGATTCGACGCAAAATCGTGTGATTTAATGTATAACGCTTCGCTGACTGAGATGCTTTGTAGGAAAGCGAGTGAAGCACTTTTATTCTTTAATAATTAGTATTTAAATAGAATATTTATAGAGTAATTACTTATGAAACAGTATGTAAACACTTTGATATCGGTAATTGCGGAACGAGGAAAACCTGTCGTTTCGATTGACGTTATCTTGTCAACGATTTAATCCTCGCCTAATTTATATATCGAGCGTGATGAACGCAACTACTCGGTCATTAACCCTTTGCATTCTGCAGTTTTTCACTGGAAATATTTTAACTTTCCGATGAGATAGAAATATTTTGTGAAACTCGCAAGGAAACCGTAACGTACATTGAAGAATATATTTATATAAAGTTATAAAACATATTCCTTTGATGAAATTATTGAAAGTATTGAATACATTGATAATTTGTGTTCATATGTGGAATATATTTTATAACTTTCAAGTTACAATGACGTTAAACTTTCACGCCTGAGCGTATAAAAGTTACAGTTAACGGATTGCCCCATTTTATTCGCCGGTTTCCGTTGCAAAATGGAATAAATTAACAAGATGCCAATATACTGATATGTGACTACAAAGTTACACGGAGGGATAAGATAACACAGGATAGTAATAAAAAGTATTATCGATATCCTGGCAGGGAACATTGAACATTTTCATTTACAATGGAAAATGTCGAGCGAGAAGGGTTAATCTGCCCTCTCGGAGGAACTAGAATAGAACCGGGTATAATGTGTCCGGCGGCGACCTAAAAATACTATTCCACAGTCTTGCGGCATCAAGGGACGACACGTCCGATATGAATTTGCAGAAGTGCAACGCACTTGCGCCGATGTAACGAGAACCGCGGGGGGAACCACCGGTGAACAGCGAACGGGGCACAGGTTCCGTGGAACAGGCTCGAGGATTAACCCTTTGCACTCGAGAGGTGACTCTCACTCGCCAGATTTCACACTGTAGAACTTATTATTATAGAAACCGATTTAGCAATAGGTAAACTGAATTGTAAATCAATAGAAATCTCAAACACTGTTGGAGTTTCCACAGAGAAATTGGATATTTCCTGTGAAAAACTTCTGGAGTGCAAAGGGTTAAACTAACAGAGAGAACTATTTTATGAAATTCAATATTGAATTGTAAGTTTTCACTGCACATGTGCAAGTTGCACCGCGGAGTGCACAGAGATAGACACTATTCGAGGAAAGCAAACAGTTTGTGGAAACGCATGATTCATTCTACTGCTAATGACTGTGCGAGTTCTTTATTTATCAATCTTTTCACCGTAAGAACGATAACGACGATAATTGTTAGATTTATATTAACTAGTATTGACATTGATTACACGTAATCGAATGGAATGATTATAAAACACGTACAATTAGAATTGTAATGAATCGAGAAGAATTTACTTGTTAATTGATTCGTACGAATGTTAAGATAGAGTTTTATCGTTGATTACGTTCACAGCTAATTCTAAATAATGTTTGATCAATATAGAATCTCTGATTTCGATTTAATGAGATTACTGGCTAAGGAATGTTGACTGATTTTCTATTTTTCTGAGATCGTATGATGAAATCTTGCGATAATGCACAGAAATATATCTGTTAGCGTGTCCCGTATAATCAGGCATACATATGTATAAACCCGTGGACTCTAAAAGCGCAGTTAGTAACAATTTTGCAAATTAACACGTCGTAACTGGCGCGCAGTTGCGCAATTTGTCGTCGATGAATATGTAGCCGATAATTGAAGGAGCTAATCACGTCTAATCGCACGTATCGGCGCAGAACTTGCAATTGTACGGGCCTTGACCTTCGTCTTCTCGACATTTCGCTGTTCGTCTGTTTCAAAAGACCGCCCGAGAGTCCCTTTCCGTGTCTCGAGTCGCGCAATTATTTTCGCAGCTCGAGAATGTTATTCCGGGGGAATTGTTTTCGAGCGTGCCAAGTTACAGTCGACGGCTTCCTCCAATTATCGAGGGAAATATTCGACGGGATATTCTTGAAACGAGAATCTGGAGACAGAGGAAAATGTAATTCTTCCTCGAATGTCTCTGGGTTAAAGACAGTTGAGTCGGTTGATTACTGTTGTTACGTACCAATGGGAACCAACGATGGATACGGGAATTTATCTGCGACACTTTCTGTAGATCTCGCTGAAATATATCTGAAATGTATCCTCGCTTAGATTTCTAGTTGCAGTTGTTAATTACGTTAATAATTTTGTTACAATGTATATGTAGGTGTATATGGTTGTCACTATAATTTCACTAATTGTAGAATAGATATATGGATTTATGGATTTATGGATTTATAGATTTATAGATTTATAGATTTATAGATTTGGAGATTTAGAGATTTAGAGATTTAGAGATTTATAGCTTTATAGATTTGTAGATTTATAGGTTTATAGATTTATAGATTTATAGATTTATAGATTTATAGATTTATAGATTTATAGATTTATAGATTTATAGATTTATAGATTTATAGATTTATAGATTTATAGATTTATAGATTTATAGATTTAGAGATTTAGAGCTTTAGAGATTTAGAGATTTATAGATTTAGAGATTCACAAATTCATAGATTCATAGATTTACAGATTTACAGATTTACAGATTTACAGATTTATAGCTTTACAGATTCATAGATTTACAGATTCATAGACTTATAGATTTATAGATTCATAGATTCATAGATTCATAGATTCATGGATTCGTAGATTCATGGATTCGTAGATTCATAGATTCATAGATTCATAGACATATCCGATGGATCCAACGTCAATTTACTGTCTCCCGCGTGCAACCACAAGTGCCAAACACCGGCCCGACACGAACCGACCTTCACCTTCGCGCGTTGCCTCTAACCGTTGGCGATAGACCCGATTTCTCTAACTCATCATTTCTAGAAAGTAAATCGCGAGCGATCGAGCGGGCGGTTCATGGGAAAACGGGCGTTATCCACCGCGATCGAGCCGACTTTTCATTGATACGCGCGCTCGATCGAGCAGCTCGTCCTTGATTCTTTCGATGATCCAATACGAGCGATAGAACGACTGCCGTCGAGAAGCAGCGGTATGGTCGAGGTCGAGCGCAACTGGAATTGAAACCTTCGATCGACGAATTCGGAGCAAGACCGTTAACGTAAACTTAAGATCGAAAGTAACAAAAGAGATCGAAAGTAACGAAAATGAATCAAGAATCATTGAAATTATTTAAATTATCTTTAACGCTATAGCTGTCGAACCAGTAATAATCACTTATTCCAAATTTCCTTTTAAAATGATTGTAAAAATTCAAAAGCTTTCCTTAAAAACTAATTAACGTCTGAGTATCATACCTAAAATGTATCTATGAAAAGATCTTGTAGTATCTACGAAAAGATACGGACAATTTGACTGATTGGTAGTTCTAGCGTTAAGGATTTCGTTGTATCTTATCGAGAAATCGATCGGCACTGATTTACTGATGGTATATTGTACGTGTACTGATTGTTGTCCGTTTAATTGTTCCAGTGACCAGGGGACAAGCGCATATCGGCGGCTATTGAAGCGCCTAAGCAGGCCGAAGAGACCAGGCTTCTGTAATCGATGGGTTGAGAACGCGAAATTCCTGCTTTCCAGCTTTTCTTCTCTCTTTGTAACCAAGGTGTATAGCTTACCGATGAGCCATGCTGAAGGTAGTAGGAGCCTCCTGGCTGCAGACACGCATCTCCACTTATATCCTCGTCGCCGTTGCCCTCCTGGGAATTGGAGCGATAATCCTCGGCGAGTTTGGACAGTAAGCTCATTTACCGATGACGGATACTTACGGTCATGCCTCCATCTCTAGCGACGCATAAATCATCGTTTGTCTTTTAGTTTGTTGGTTTAGAAGTGCTGTTGGTTTCTCACTTTGAGGTTCACGTCGACGTTCATTCGATTACAGCTTAATATGACGCATTTATTTATTCAAGAATATTTGGGAGTCATTGAAATGTTAGCTTTAAATGGTACAATTGTGATACCACAAATAAATATAGAAGAAACTCAAACTTCAGTAACTCGAACTTCAGTAATTCACATTCCAACGACTGAAATTTCAGTGACTGAAACTTCAATCATGTTACCTTTAAATGGTACAATTGTGATACCACAAATAAATATAGAAAGAATTGTTGAAACAGGTAGAGGTTTCAATAAGATAGAATGTCGGGTCTGACTCGACATAGGACTGCTAAGGGTTAACCCTTTGAGCGCTGAATACTCCCAGCTGAAACGTATTTCTGCTCATCTGAAGGTCAATGAGTAACGTTAGCTCGTGCAGTTAATTTAGTTGTAATCAAATAATCGTGACTCCTCGGTTTCCTCACATTCAGTGATGCTAAGAAACGTAGGATATTAATATAAAACATTGAAGGTGCAATGTTACTCAAACATTCACTTAATCTATTACATAACTTTGGTGCCATTGCCAAAGAACGTCAACGTTTCTGCATCAATCCAACAAACAAAGGTACTACACCTTTCATATCATTTTTAGGAGAAACCTTATCACAATGTCAAGCAGAATGCACCACGTACACTTGAATCCGCAAGTCACCGTGTACATAGTAACAGGAACTGCAACGGATATCAGAAGATGTCGAAAATGATAGTGCGTCGCTCGTTCCGATACTCGTATCACACATTCAACGCGTACCACGCGTGTGCTATAGTCTGAACAGCATCAAATGACCTTCCAAGACTGCCTCCCCCCTCCGAGTGGCATCAGTCACAAGTTTTACCATTTTGCTTGAACGAACTGGATAATATGAATCCATAATTCATTAAGTCAATTAAATCTTATGTATCAGGAAAAACGTACACCGACGCGTATGCTGTTAATGTCAATTAATTAACAATAGAAGGTCGTTGATTTTGTTCAGACAGTAGTAAGCTACAGTTGGTAATAGAGTAAGTCTGAGAGGGATGGCCAACATTTTCAGAAGACCTATTGCCTCATAGACTTCATTGATACAGAAAAATATATATTTATGAAAGCACATAGGTACATAAGTAGAACAGTTAACCCCTTGGCTTACAACAACGTGTGAGACTCGTGGTGAACATTTCAAATAGAATTTAACAAACGTAAATACCACTCAATTCCTTTGAATTCAAATTAAATATTAATCTTCCGTTATCAGTTATTATATCCTAGGGCAAACACAGATGTAGAGTATGCATAGAATTTTTATCTCTTTCCAACAAATTATCACTGACAAAGTTGTATTGATCACAGTTGGAAAATAAATCATAGAGCAAGGGGTTAAAAGACCACTGTGCAAGGTTCAAGGTTTTGTCTTCACCTATTACATACAGATATGTACACTAATTTTGTATTAGTAATCTTGTACAGTGATAGATTTTCAAACAACCTGGAACATGTAATCCAATAAGGCTATCGTGTACAATATGTCGGCAAATTTCGAAGAAAAAATTAAATTTGTCAAATGTCTATGAGACCTGCGAGCCATCTCACCCGGAACTACCCTACCAGCGTGGTGGCGATCTCGATGAGACCGGTCGCGGCTCGAGTATCGAGTGACGCGACGTCTGGCTTCTCAAATTCTCGCCCGAGTTTTATGTATCGCGCGAGTCGGCCGGCAAACACGGCCGGCTCTGTTCAAAGGTTTATCTTGTACTCCGCGTGTATACAGTGTCGCGAGGCACCGTTTCGCCGAAAAGATAATGCGACCTGTTGCTCTCGGGAACGCATCAGTCATCCCTGTGTGCGTAGCCTATTATAATTCGTGTGTGGTCCGCGGCAACCTATTTGCTCGTTCCATTATCGCTCCGCCAGTTCGCACTCCGCGGAGCGCTGTAGGTAAACCTGGGTGTCAGACACCGGGGTGGCACTAACATTAGGTTTACGGACATTTATTGTACACTTCATTCTATTATTCCTAAAAGAATCGATGCTCGTTTATTCAGATTGTGGGAACTGGAGATTTGATAGTAGGTAATTGTAGTACATGTCAGTGTGATTCAATCAAAATCAAAACATTTACAAAATAATGTTTCTAAAATCCAATATACGTCAATTTGATCTTGCTGAAATTTTGCACGCATATCTATAACAATATTGTCTTATATATGAACCTAGAGATATGAAATAAATTGTAAATAAAAGTATCTTTTTATTGGAAAACATAGCGAAAATTTCATGTAAAATTGTAAACCTAGTGTTAACTTGAAACTTCTAATATTACAATGATGATGAACCGCTGAAACATAGATTACTCTTAATGCTCTGTTTGTTTACACAGCGTTGAACAAGATGGCACTTATTCAGCGACGGTGTCATGGAATCACAAGGGCGGGTACCGCATTGACTTCTGGGGCCAAGGCAACGATTTGAACGCCGTGCCATTGCACGCAGCTCGGGCGTACTATAAAACAGGAATTTTCGAGCATGGGTAATTCACATCATCGTTGCAGTAATACAAATTACGTAACTTAAGGAACTTGTGAATAACAGAGCTGGTATTTCAGATGGTCCTTCATTGAAATTGAGACGTCTTCAAAATACCCGGACACCGTGCAGGCCTACGCTGCTGGTCTTCTGGAAGGCAGCCTCACTTGGCAATTGATCCATCATCATTGGTACAATACCGTCCGGGCGGAATGCGAGAAGAAGGTCGCCGAGTGCCGGAAGTTAACGCGGTACCTTCGCGACAATACTGCAGTTATTCGTGAACGCGCTGAGCTGTTGGAATCCACTGATCCTTTTTGGCATATGGTACGTGACGACAGAATGATTAAAATAATATTCATGATTTATTGGATTCCAGTTGCTCGATCAACTGTTGGTACAATATTAGTCGGTAAAGCAGGTATATGAAATATATTTGAACCGTTTGTTTCAGGTACGATTATTTTACACGCAATTAGATGGCTTAGAAGCTGGCTGGAAATTTGCTGTCCGCAGGAGCCGTGTTTCGGTATCACTAGAGTCTGAAGATTTCCTTTGGCTAGCCCTGGCCTCCGACGTGCCCGGTTTTCAACGGGCGTTCAACATATCAGACGTTCCTTTAAGCTCTATGATCTATCTAAAATCCTTACCGCGAGACAATTCGGAACCCTTGATCGCGGTTGGTCATAACACCGCCTCGTCGTAAGTATACCTTATCGTACACTATTTTCTTTGTTTTATTGGTACACCAACTAATACACTTTGTACGTGAATGCGGCAAGGATTACGTTGACGACCGTGGGTATATGTAAACTACTGGACAGAATTCATTCAGTTCCATATTCGAATCTAACATTATTTGTTTACAGATACATGCAAATGTTGAGACTCTTGAAGAAATACACGTTCGGTTACCATGTACTGCCAGGTATAAAAACTGCCGCATCAACGCCTACTCGGTCGATAGTGATGTCATCTTATCCAGGAGCTCTGTCGTCCCAAGATGAATTTTATTTACTGCGAGGCGAAAATCGTGAATTGGTTGTAACCGGGACGTCGCTGTTAGCGACAAATCATAGCAACTGGAGCTTCTTGTTTCCGAAAGATCATGTACGGTTAATTATCATTGTATAGGTCCCTAACACTAGGTTTACGGAGCGTGTCAATTTGAGGCACATTGAATTTTGTAAACATCTGGTAAATGTTTCCTAATTGTCTATTCTTAAATTTATAATTTTCAAAATCTGAATAGGCGACTGTCAACTGTAGGAACCATAGAATACACTGTACAATAAATCCCCGTAAACCTAGCGCTAATAATAGGATCACTGATGTAAAACGATGATATTCCAGGTAATGTCATCCGCAAGATTAATGGCGGCGAATCGTTTGGCAACGGACGGACAGTCTTGGTTCGAAACCATGTCTCATCAAAACGGAGGTGCTTCCGCGGCCCAGTGGATCACCCTCGAGCCACGTTCCACGACTATATTGTTGGTGGAGCAGCTGCCAAGTCTGACAGTCGCCATAAACTATACGGAGGAGTTCAAGAAAAATGGTTATCTAATCTACAGCGGTATATCAAACTTTGAGAACGTCGACGAGATCGTACGTCCCGCCAAGAAGGATGTGAACGAGTGGAGGGACCGTTTAGCGCGCGCGCAGGAGAACGTCACCACATTCGAGCAATTCCGACACATGATGCGTGGGTGCAGCCAGGAAGATTGCACTGCCGATAATCTGAATTTAAAAGTTGATCCACTGAAGGAACTAACGTATCGCGGCGATCTGGAGGTCGAACCGGTACCGTACGGTATCGTGGACACGAAAGTCTTGGCCGTGAACGCCGACGGCTTCGAAATTTTCGAGACATTTTCGGGACCGGCAACATTGCAATCGCGACCACCTTTCAAATGGTCCGAAACCTTTCCTAATATTTCTCACATAGGACACCCGGACACTTTCGACTTCGAGAGCGTCACTCATAGATGGGTTTGGGTTTGAATAACGCTAACATTATTTTACTAAATTGTATATTCACGCGACTCTTAAGTCGCATACTTTTTACTTATTCTAACGAGCCATGATAACGTTCCGTTTATTCCGTGTAAGTGGATCATAATCTCTTTTAGGCGAAATTTTTAATAATGGCATTGTATATGTATTTTATGTCGTTAAGCTGGCTCTTAGCCACCTTTGGTGAATTTTATGAAATAAAGGAAAATGTAACGACCTGTTTTGTTATTCCATTTCCATCAGATGTTAATATAATGTTTAATAATTATGTATATTATGTGCTTCCTGATTTGTTTGGGTTGCTATAAAGATGATGTCGAGTTAATGGTAGAATTCTATTAATATTTGTTGATCGTATTTATGAAATTGTGAACCGTGAATTTGTTGGTGCTACCATCTAACAATGTACTGAAATCGTACAAAAGAAGTTTGACATTTTTATGACATGTCGGTAAAGTCGAACATAACACGAGGCGCACATGTTTTGCATTGAATTACGTTTTGCAAGCGCATGGAATGATTCCATGATTAATGATGTTTTCGATATCAAAGAAATTGATAACAAAATTAACATAGTAATTTATGTTGTTGAAATGTAATGTTTAGTATTTGTCAACCACTGTACAGTAAACAATTATAAAAATATTATTATATCATCATCATAACCATGGAGACTGATGATCAAGAAGTTAAAGAAGCCGATGATGAGAAAACAGATCCAACGAACGACAATGACATTATTAGAAATGTTTCAGAGAAGGTTAGAATTACGTCAATAATTAATTAAAACAATGACATACCCTTATGCGTCTTATATTAACAATAAATGGTTTTAGGTTTTGTCTGTCAGAAGTGAAGAAAGTATTCTTCGCGAAGCGTCAGAGGAAATTGAAAATATTATAAAAACAAATGTACATATTGAAAAATCTGAAGATGTAAAAAATGACGAAGACCTGAAAAATAGGAATGTAAATAATGTGCAACGAGTAGAATTAGAGAAACAGGTTCTGACTGGAGAAATTACACCGTTTCAAGCAATTTCAAAGCAATCTAACTCTTCAAAATCTGCAGGGTACATAGAGATGTTGAATATATTTTTAATAATTTAACAGAATTTAAATAACTTTCATTTCAGGTCATCGGGTAAATCTTTTCAATTACTTGACCTTGAAAAATATATTCAACAGCAAGCTGAGCTTGCAAGGCAAAGAAAAGAATTAAAAGAAAAGTCAAAACTATCAAAAGATGGATGTCAAAAAGTATCTCCGAAAAAGTCAAAAATATCAAAGACTAACCCAAAGGAATATAAAATTGTTGAGCAACCAAAGTTAAAAAGTAGTAAAAGAAAATTAGTGTCAGAAAATGAGAAAACCAAAAACTTAATGCAAAGTTGTAATTACACTAACAAGACAAAGGAAGTAAATGATTCTAACATAGAAAACAAGCAATCCATAAACACAACAATTTCTTGCAATGCTTTAAAGGATAATACAAAAGAATTAGTTGAAAATACAGATGTAGTTCCTGCAAATATAGAAAATGATTCTGATAGTGAATACATTCCAAGCGATGAACAGATTGATTCAGGTAAATGTTAAGGCTATACTTAAGGATTAACATTGTTTAATAAATGATACTTTCAAATGCAATATTTTTTTAATTTGTAGAAGATGAGTCAAGACCATCTCAGAAGAAGAAAAAAATTTCTGTAAAACCTGTTCACAAGAAAAGAGGTACACAAATTATACCATTATATTTTACATGCATGATAAACATTTATTACAATAAAGCTTTGTGTTCTAGTTTTGGATGATGGAGATGAACAAATATACAGGCAAAGACTGGAAGAAAGTGGACATCCAACATCTGAACCATTGCATAAAATAGACAATTTATTTAAAATTCCTCAGTCTATATGGAAAAAACTATACAAGTATGAAACAAAATTAAAATTAAACAATCAGTCTTGAGTTTTCCATATGATTTAACTTTTTGAATTGTTTTCAGGTATCAAAAGGTATCTGTACAGTGGATGTGGGAATTGCACTGTCGTAATCTGGGAGGTCTATTAGGAGATGAAATGGGATTAGGGAAAACTGTACAAATTATTGCATTTCTTGCAGGACTGGATTGCAGTGAACTACTTTCTGATGGTGGAAGGTGAAGATTACTTTTTAACAACTAGATCGTGTAATATATCATTTGCTAATAGCATATATTTTAATGTGCAGTACACTCTTTTTAATAGGTTCAGAGGATTAGGACCAAGTATAATTGTTTGTCCAGCTACATTAATGGAACAATGGGTAAAACATTTCCACGAATGGTGGCCCATTCTAAGAGTGGTTGTCCTACACCAATCTGGAACATATAATGGTTCGTTACAGCTGTGTATCTTAAAATAAAACTTTATTCCTTTTGTATAACAAGTAATGAATATTTTTACAGGCAATCTAGAGTACTTGATACATTCCCTGGGTTCTGGTGGTATTTTAATTACTTCCTATTCCGGAGTACTCAACCATAAGGACTTACTCGTAGCCAATCAATGGCACTATGTGATTCTTGATGAAGGACATAAAATAAGGAATCCCCAAGCGAAAGTAATTTGCCCTCAATTCATCAGACAAATTTCAATTGTAATAGTATTCTACTTTTAAGTGGAACATTGGAATTGTAAATTAAATTATTTGCAGGTCAGTAAAGCAGTAAAAGAATTCTCCACTCCGCACAGACTGTTACTAACTGGCAGTCCAATGCAGAACTCGTTAAAGGAATTATGGTCCCTTTTTGACTTCATTTTGCCAGGTAAATTAGGCACCTTACCAGCATTTCTAGAGCACTGTGTTACTCCCATAACACGAGGAGGATACGCGAATGCTAGTCCTCTACAAGAGGCTACCGCACTTCAAGTTGCCACAATGCTTAAAGATGCTATTACACCATACATGCTTAGAAGAACGAAAAACGATGTTCAACATCATGTTACTTTACCAGAAAAAAATGAGCAGGTACTGGATAAATCATACAATACATAAATTATGTCATTACAATCCAATACTTAACATTTTTTAAATCTAATATCACATTCAAGGTGTTATTCTGCAGTCTAACAGATGAACAGAAGAAATTATACAAGAAATACTTAAGCTCAGAAGATGTCTCCTTTGTTTTACATGAAAAAACCCACATGGAGGGTGGTAGATATAGAGCACGATTGCTGATAGCACTGTCGGCGCTTAGGAAAATATGTAACCATCCCGACTTGTTTCTGTTTTCAAATCCAATCGTAAGATTCCAATATGACAGTATACAGTATTTCATATATCAGTGCATTTTAATCGAATAAACGCATATTCAGGAATCTGATGAGGACATTGATGTATCGGAGGAATCATTGGAAAAGTTTGGCTGTTGGAAACGTTCTGGAAAGATGACGGTAGTTCGTTCTCTTCTTAAAATTTGGAAGAAGCAGGCCCATAGGGTACTGTTGTTTACTCAAGGGAGACAAGTATGTATTTGAAAATAATTAAAAGTATTATTCTAAAACATCAGTATATTGATACCGATTAATGACAATTGCATTTATAGATGATGCATATATTAGAGTCTCTAGTGCAAAGTGAAGATTATAAATATTTGAGGATGGATGGAACTACACCCATGTCACAGCGACAAGAGATAATTCGTTTATTTAATAATGTATGTATGTTAATGAAGTGCGTCAGAAATCACTGAAGATGTGATTTGCATGTTCTATCAGAGTTATAAGTGTTTTCATTCTAGGACTCTTCATACTTCGCATTTCTATTAACTACTCGTGTTGGAGGGTTAGGAGTGAATTTAACAGGAGCGAATCGAGTAATTATTTATGATCCAGACTGGAACCCAGCAACTGATGCTCAAGCCAGAGAACGTGCTTGGAGAATAGGTCAAAATAAAAGGGTCACCGTTTATAGGCTTATTACAGCTGGTACTATAGAAGAGAAGGTGAGTTTTTAAACAATTGTTTTCATAAACTTGTTAGTTCCTATACAATAATCTTCTCCTTTCCAGATATACCATAGGCAAATATTCAAACTGCTTCTCTCTAATAAAGTTCTGGAAGACCCTCGTCAACGAAGATTGTTCAAAACGTCTGACTTAGTTGAACTCTTTAATTTGAATGAATCCATCGACGGACATTCAAGCGAATCCGATCTCTTATTCCGAGACTCTAAACTGACGCCAACGGTTGCTAAATTTTCGACAAGTAAGATTGAGAAAATGCGGAAATTAGCAGTCACGCTTAGTAAAAACATAAGCAAACAAACTCTTACTCCTGCATCTACAATACAGAGTACTACTGCCTCAGAGAGTAATTGCATGCAAAATGATAATAGTGAACAGGATGATTTGAAAGGTACCGATCGTTGTACCATAACAGAAGAGAAGAATAAAAGTTCACCTCACGAACAAAATGAAGAAACATCTCGGATTCAAATGAATGCAGAATCCAATGTAAAGAAAAAACGAAGCTTAGAGAATGACGAAGACAATTCACCAGAAAAGACAGTCAATGATAATAGTGAAGTTGAAAGTAAAACGAATTGTTTAGACGTTGATACTGGAACAGAGGTAGAATCTAGGAATGATGTAGGAAGTTCATCCTGTAATGATTTAAATATAACGGAGGCCTCAGAAAATTCATGTAAAACAAGTAAAGCGACTTCTTTGAATAATAATGAAGACATCAGATTAAAATCACATAAATCACATCATAAGCATAAGAGGAAAAAGAAAAATTCTTCAACAGAAGGTAGTGAAGTTTCTGCCATATTTGAGGGAGAACGTGTTTCACATTTAATTGGCCGTCGTCTTGGACGGTCCGAGAAAGATGAAGTTACACCGTCCGAAGATGATCAGTACGTGCTGAAGAAACTATTTGCCAAAGCAAGTAAATATTTTCTTATTGTATTTTCCGCGCATGTAACTGATTTTAAACAATAGTAAGTTGCATGGAATATTTGTTACAGATGTTACTTCTGCTTTCCAACATGAAACAGTATTATCGAACTCAGGATGTAATCCAGATAATAACCCAATGCAACGGTTAGCCCGAGAAACAGCTCAAGAAAGTATGGAAAGCATACGTAAATCTCGGAAATGGTGTTGGAGACCTACATGGGATTCTTCATCTAAAACAGACGACTGATTTCTTTTTATGTAACGTGTTATTACATCGTACTTGGTATTTAAATTCAATGTAAGTTATAGTTTGTTAAATGTTGAATTCTTTTATTTTATAATCTTTAATTTTCCAGTTGGTACAAATAATATAATAAGAAAAGAACATTTTGATCTACAAACATTTGATATATCACAATAATTCAGATGAACATGTTATATTTAATTTGAAGATATTTTTCGAAAACAAAGACATTATATTTTCATTTTGTAATCGTGTTTGAAGTAATTTTTTATTTATGAAAGTTTCTTTCTAAACTAAATATTAGTGAGATAATGGAAATATCTCAAACACTTACTGATTTATAGAGAAATAAATATAAAAACAATGATTACTCTAATAGTGAAAATAATTATTACCATTTTCAGTTATTTAAATTATTCCAATAATATCAAATAACTATATTCCTTTGGTATACAACTCATTATTTAATTTTTATGTTTAATAGAATGATAATTATGAAGGCAAGTTCCTTCCAGAAAATTTTGTTTAAACACCTTTCGTCAAAAGGTTTTATATATTATATATGTAAACAATAAACATTATACGTAAATATATATTTATACACTTACATAGCAAAAGTATGTCTTTCACACTGGACTTTTTTACAATAGGAATTTATAGGAACTTTACCTGTATAAAATTGTACTTGCTTGTACTGTTACTTACTATTTACATTAAAGTCATATACTTTATATCTTAAAAATTCGTCAAGCGTAGGACCCTTCCTACCTAAAGGATCATCAGGGAACATGACAATATTTCCGACAAAAGTTGGAGCCAACAAACGGTTGAGAATTGTATCACGCCAGTCTAGTCTTTCAGCGTATAAATCTCTGTATTGATCCATTGAAATGACAATGCCTTTACACATTGTCGCATATTGTAATATAAATCTAAAAATATCGGAACAATACATTTGAATAAATTTGAAACATGTACAATGAAAAATATGCAGCCTACCTATCATCGTAAGAAGTTATCCATCTTCCAGCAATATAACGACTAGGTGTGAAAATCACAATACCTTCTGCATACCATTTTTCGAGTCTCGGGTTATTCAGCGATCTTCTATATTGAGGTACAAACACCTTCACTGTGTGTCCTCTTTGTCTGAAGTAATCAATCACTATTTGTATACCTTCTTCTGAAAACTGTTTACTTTTTGAATGCCTGAAACATGGAAGGATAAAAATATTATTCATGGATAGAAATTATAAATATTTATAAAAACTGAAGAACTTAGATTATCTTACGCCATAGCTACATTATTTCCATCAACAATAATTTCTCTTAACTGAGTACGTGGAGTATCTATACTTTCATTCACATTGGTTGGTGGTACATCAATATTACTTGCACTGTTTTCAATTGACGTACTGGGCAGAGGTGTTCTTCTATCTACATCAGATGCTTTATCTTCTAATCTTGATAATGTATTAAAGAGCGATCTTCGTTTTTTCATAATTATTCTTCCACTTATATTTTGAGCAGTAGGCAATGTTAATCCTGGTTTGTTGAAAAGCAATTGAGAATCATTGTTTGGTATGTCCTCTTCAAAATTGTCTTTTGAGATTTTAGATCTTTCCTTCCTGGACAACAACAAACACTGAAGATTCTTTGCATCTGGAGTACGATCTATCATGAAGAGTCTATTATCTTTTTCTTGATTTGGAGTTTCTGTTCCTTGCTCTTTTTGGCTTACAATTTCACCTTGATCACTTTCGGAATTTATTAATGTTTCCCTTTCTCTACCTTCAATTACTCCTTTGTTTTCCTTTGTCTGAGCATTTACTACTTTGTGTTCCTTCATCTGAGTATTCACTGCTATGTTTTCCTTTGTCTGAACATCAGGCAAAGTTGTACTCGCAGATGACCATACTACAACAATATCGTCTGAACTTTGATTTACAGAATCCAATGGTGCTAAAGAAACACAAACTACAGTAAGATGTAAATCCAAGGTAGTCATATATTAAACATAGTACTAGTTTTACCTCTATTTTCACCATCTACTTCAACTGTTATCACGTCAGAATCTTCTGTGTCTGATATAAGAAGACAAGATGAATTATTATCTAATAATACACCAGAGTTCAACAGTTTTCTTTTCTTTGAACGTGTCATAACACCAGGTCTTTTACGTTTTAATGAAGCATTTATATTTTTGTAAGACATTATTGTCTTTTCTACCTCATCCAGAAACCTCTTTTGAACGTCTCCTTTATGTTTGCGAACATTTTCGTTGTCCGCACTAGTAGATTCACATTCATTGTCGCTCAATATAATTATGTTATCTTGAGTCAGACCAGCAATCTCAGAGGAAAAAAAATTATTTTCATTATTGTCGATTTCTTTCTTCCGATCATTTAGATTTTGTTGCACTTGTAGTTGTTTGTATCTTTTACTGCTATAATCATAAAGAAACATAATGTATGATAATTACATAATACAAAAACCATGCTATGTAAACATTCTTAAAGCTATTTAATACCTTAACTGGATATGTTTTAAAGGACCTTCGTAAAATGTCCTTTTCGGAATCTTTTTTTGTTTCTTTTTTTTGGGGGAAGTTTTCTTTCGACTCGAGTTTGGTGATGCGTCGCAAATTATTACCGAATCGTTTAACGCACTCATCGTTCACACATTTATTCTCTCGAGATGTCTCAATGTGTCAACATGTATCCATAAAAATATTTTCATAAAAAAAGATTTACAAGTTTTCCGTTGCAAATCAAGCAGTTAAAAAAAAAATGTGCTCGATGAGAAATAAATGTGTTTGTTGAAAACGTAGAAGGTCACGTACAAAGTAACATTTTGATTAACAGTAATATAAATTAAATGCTCACATACTTTTCACAATGTTCATTCATTCTGACGAAACTATTTACAAGCGAGAAAGTAATCACATTTTGTCAACATCAATATAGCACAGATGTTGACAATTAATCGCTACGTGTATAACCCAAGCTGCCAAGTTCAAACGCAATACCGAAGTTCAGGGAACCCAGAGTTCCGTGTAAAAGTCGTCCAACTACGATACGACACGTTACATTTATTTCTTCAATCAATAAGTATTGCAATTAAACGATACAATCACTGGTATCTGCATAACTGTATTTTGATTCCATCAATTTTTCAAAACCGTGTTCGTAAAACTGTATTATTACTTCATTTTATCGATACCTACATACTCGCGTCGATTCATTTATGATTTCTAAATAATCCAAAATTCGAAAAACAGAATAAACGCCATACTGTTATACATTGTACAAACTAATGAAAAAAAGAAATTGCAGAAAAATTTCGTAATTACTTAATTAATGAAATACCGTTGAGCATTAATTACGCGAGTCCTACAATTAAAATAGTTTGTACAATTGCGAACAGATCAGTGCCGGTCATCGTGACCGAACGAATTTACTGATTGTTTATTGCGTGAACTGTCGAGGAAAGAACGAAATGAAAATGATTGTTTCTAACAGGTCCAAATTCTCTCTTTGATATTGTCAATCTATAGCGCAGTGTGTGTATAATGGTCAAGTAGAAGCGCGGACGGCGTAGCCAATGGCGAACGCGGCGAGCGCGTAACGCGAAAAAGAGCGGCGGCGATTGGTCGAAATTCATACTGCGATGGAGGATGTCGAAAGGAGAGGGGGGAGAGTGAATGTGTGCTGGTCTGACCCGAACGCGGCTGCATCCCCGTGCCAGGCTAACAAGCAAGTAGTAACGCTAACGTTAGAATTTTGTCTTTTGTTTATCCTTTATGTTTCTTTCACCGGGAAAAAGCGGAGCCCGAGGAACGTGGTATTGCCGGGTCGGGTAGCTGGTGCTCGGGGATCGAGCAGATAGTACGGGCCAGCACCAGTCGCACGGGCGAAATTTTTCGGTGTGGATCCAAGTAGTCGAAAGCGTATTCAGGCAGCCTTCAACGTAAACAAAAATGGAGCTGGGGGAGGGAGAAGCGCAGATTTGTCGACTTTGCGGTCAATACGAGAGGATATACATCGATGTGTTCAGTGAAGACGGCGTTAAAAGGCTACTAGGCTTGAAGATTCACTCTCAAATCAACATTCTGGTGAGTAGAACACAAGAGGTGTGTCATGGGGTCTTCAGGCCCAAGGTGCATTATTAAGGAGGGGGTTAGAAAAATGGCCGGGGGAGAAGAGTATGCGAAGAAAAAATCTTCTCTTTCCTTTGTTACCGCGAACTTTCCGCTATGAATTTTCCTTTATGTTTCCTTTTTTGTATTTTGATTAATGGTAATTCGTTTGTGCATTATGTATATTTAGTTTGAACAAGGGAGGACGAGAGGAATATTTTTCATTGTATTTTAACTTGATTGTAGATCTAGAGATGCATATATTTTTATATATTAATTCAACTGTAATACGAATTAAGCAGGGACCAGTTTCTTTCGTTGAAGTTGTTTTTTCCATTCTTGTGCTTTATATTTTTATATGTACGATAAGTTCATGAACATGTATAGTCAAGTTCCACCAATGTTTCATTCAGTTTTCGATTGTCGTAAAGATTAACAATGCTTCTGGATAAAGGTGAACATTGTAAGAGAACTATACATCGGTAAAGTTAATGATACACTCGAAATTGCATGTCATATGATAACTATGTATCACAAGCAAAGTAGAAGTCTTTTACTATAAACAGAATTATGTGTATAGATTTTAATGTTATATATTGGAAAGACTTGACTAATGTTATATTGTGCTATTGATATTTTAGCAAAACATCTTTCGTAATAAGTTTTTTAAGTGACATTTCATTGTAGCGTTAAATAATAAGTTTGGCACTATGCAATGTTAAAATGGGTACCAGATCATAGTCGACAATTTTCGTCAGTGGTATATGTACAGAGCGGTAGGGTACACAAGAGATTCTAAATTATTGGTTCTTACATGTGACTGTAAATAAGAATTAAGACATTTTGTAAAGTCAGTTGAAGATAGTACAGAATTGGATTCTCCATTAAGGAATTAAAATCGTATACATTTAGTATTTAGGTATTTTGTTTGAATCACAGATAGATGAGAGGGATCCTCTGCCCAAGGCGATCTGTGTTCAGTGTCTGGGCAAGCTCGAATTCGTTTGCGACTTCCAAGAGGAGTGTCTTCGCACCCAACAAGTGTTACGCGATCGATACAATCTACCACCCTTAACAGAGATTGTAAGTTCGTATTCCATTTAATGCACAGCTCTACCGCTCATTTATGATGCCACCAGAGCATGCAGCTCATTTTTTTGTATTATTTCTATTGAAATTTAAATTAAATGAAAAAGAAAAAGTCATCTGGTATATTGGTTGACAGAATCTTCAAGTGAATGTGTAATATAAAGAAATTGTTATTCTTCTTAAATTCAATGATATAATCTACCGAATATGCGTTCTCAGTGAAACATATGTACCAAGAATACCAGATTAAACTTGTTCTTTTCTCGATACAATTAAAGTCAGTAATTTCTGGTACCCATTTCTATCTAGTATTTTAATTTATCTCTAGGCCGAAGTAAAGACTGAAGAAACAACTCCAAGCACATCAACAAACAATAACAACAATGACATCGACAAAAATCTTAATCCTCCAGCCAAGGAAACTGTTAAAGAAGTAGCACAACGTGTTTCAAAAACGACCACAAAGACTCAGAGAAATTTACGAAGTCAACACCAAGTGAATAGTAATAACGATGCTGCGAAAGATCAGAACAATGCTCAAAGCACAACGGAGGATAACACAGACAATGTACAAACCGTTCAGAATTCTGAAACAACTTCCACGAGATGGCTCAGAAGGAGACAAAACACAGAAACAGCTTCCACAAATGAAATAACAACCGACACGCCAATCGCAAATAGGCTTAGAAGTCATGACAATACCGTCGCGGAGATAAGCGTTAGTCCACGCAGTAATTCCAGTGAGTCCAGTGGAAAACAGGATCCCAACACCATACAAATCCCAACGTCAGCGTTGAACAAGCTTCTCACCATCGTATCGAATTCACCGAACATCGAAGTTTCCGCAAAGGAATCCAGAAACCAGAGCAATGACATGGAAGACATCAGTTTCACGGTAGAATTATGTAAAAAGGAAAGCGACGACGTGGCCACTGTTCGAGCCAGAGTGTTCCCGGACCAAGGTTCGTGTTTAGTGGATGAATCTATCGTCGGTCTTCTGCAGAATCAAAGTTGCGTAGAAGTAAATAGCATAATAAACACTATTATCAACAGCAGCCTAAAGAACAATTCAACGAAGTCGAAAGACTCGGCTGAATTCGAACAAAAATGGCAGGCTTCTCAGAACCCGGAGGAACTGTTCAAGATCGACGGAGAGGAGATCCGCGTGGACGACAACGTCGAGCACATTGTCACGGATAATCAGAATGGCTATTCGTGTAAGCTGTGTTGCAAATTCTACGAGCGAAAGGACAAATGTATGGTTCACGTGAAGACGCATCTCGGTATCAAGCAGTACACTTGTATTCTATGTAACGCCAAATTCGTATGTAAATCCGACGTGATGAAGCACATACGGTGCTCGCACACCAACCCGAGACCGATACAGTGTCCGAAGTGTCCGAAGAGGTTCAAGTCGAAATTCTACTTGATGGAGCACGACAACGTGCACAAAGGCGTCAGACCGTACTCCTGCACGGACTGCGGCCAGAGCTACCATCACAAAGTGTCGCTGCAGATTCACATGAAGTCGCATCTGCCGCCGCAGAACCTGGCCTGCGAGTATTGCGGCAAAGTGTTCCCGTACCGCACGAGACTGTTGAGTCACATCGCCAGCGTCCATCTGAAGAATCGTCGGAACTTCAGGTGTCGGTTCTGCTACAATCTCTACTCGAGCCTCTCGGTTCTGAACGAACACATCAAGACACGTCACGCGACCACGTACACCTGCGAGGTGTGCAGCAAGACGTTTAAGGTCGCGTCCAAGTACAAGGCTCACGTGCTGCAGCATACTAATCCGAAGCCTTTTGTGTGCAACATTTGCAACAACAGATACGCGTCTAAAGCATTCCTGAACGAGCATCTGCTGAAGCACGAGGGTCTGAGGAAACACATCTGCCAAAAGTGCGGCGCGAGGTTCGCCCAGGCTAGTCACTTGGCCGCCCACCGACACGTGCACGGCGAGAAGAAGCACGCCTGTCCGGAGTGCGGACGGAAGTTCAACAGACGCGACAATATGAAGGTACACAGAAAAAGACATTTCGAGGACAAAAAGACTGGTATTATTAAACAGCAGAATGCTGGCTCGGACGTGACTTCCAACGTGTCCAACGAAAAGTAACGGCTCCGGCGTAGCTCCGATATTTTTGTAAAGGTAACTTAATTCGCCGACGAGTTAAGAGCTACGAGCAGAGAGAACGTTTAGAGTCTACAACATTACTTGATAAAGCGTTCTTCGTGTACAGTGACGGACAGAAGTATTTGAGCAGTAAGAAGCTATTTCTTCTTCGAAATTTCACTCTCTTACAAACTTGCTATCGCATAATATCCTCTCATCTGCATCCTAATCGACACTTAACGAATTAAACTCCATGTTAAACACATTTGACAATTGAAAATGTTTCTAGACTCGTTGACTGTGTGTAAATACTGTTGTCTCTCACTGCAAAAAGTTATACTTGCGAAAGGAACTGATCTTAAGATAAACTGAAGACCAGATTCCTCTTCGATCATGAGAAACAGTGATATTTTGGATTCTCATTAGGCCTAGAGTACGCAAGGGTTCATTTCAACTTTCATTTTCAATGAGAATGTTATTTTTAAGTATATAATTACCGTACCGCAATTATGACAACAGTAATCAGTCAAGTCACTTTCACTCTTGTCATTCATATTATACTTTTTGGTGCATTAGTTTTCGTTCT